CGAATTTTTTCGCAATGCCAACCACATTCCGACGATTCGCGTGTCGGTTGAAGTGGAAGCGACGCGCACCGGAGGACCACTCGTGTGGGGTCTTAGCCTCACACTTCGCCAGAACTTCCGTATCGGTGACATACGTGACTGATGTTCATCTTACAATGAAAAGCCACGTGATTTAAACCCAGCAATGCTGGAGTATCGGTTTTCCCGATATATTGCAAATCATACGCTAAGGCTCGAGAAATGGGTAATGCTCTAGATTGGGTTCAGACCATTATACGATAAACAGAATGGTTCAGAATTAAAAAGTTGGAAAAGTTTAAGGGCATATATGGGAATTCGAAAGTAAGCATTTTTTCGCAAAAACCATGGGGGGAAATCTCATATTAAAGAAGTTACTCATGGAATGCAATATGTAATATCGCCGGGTAACCCAATCTACCAGCATCTTGGTATGCAATGATACTTGGACCTTTTGCCATCACGCAGAATGAATGCGTGTGAGGTGCGCTGGCGCCGTGGCGAAGTGGTGCGCCGACCGGCGGCTCGCGGCCAACACGGCGTTGCCGCAGGGCGTGCCCCGTGCGCGCCGCGTCGCCTTGCGTGCGCCGCTGCTGCGGCGCCAGCACTCTCGTTCCACGCCGAGATGGGCCCACCAAGATCCAAGGCGAAGTGCGTTGGCCTCGCGCCGGCGCCCCGCCCGCCCGCCGCCGGCCCGTCTTCTTCCGCGGCCGCGCGCCCGACCCCGCGCCCGTCACCCCATACACCGACCTCTCTCGCCACCCACCCCGAACTGCGCGCGGCGCTCTACAGCCAAGGTGAAGGCAAGCGCCTTGGCCCTTATTGTTAGCGAAGGCCTCAGGAACAAAGAAAACTTGAAAGTTCCACCCTACCAGCAACCATTTGAAAAAATAATTCTAATAACGCCCCGCTTTTTCCGACAGTCGTTGGCTTTCGCGACCGGAGTCAGTATCCACTTGGCTTCCCGGAGCACCGTGTTCCCGGGCACAGGGCATTCGGAAAGCGTCGGCCCACGTGAAGTCCCCAAGGACGCTAAGCAGGACGCATCGTATCGACTTCTTCTCCTCCGACACTGCACCTTCCTTCAACTAACCTTCATTTTGCTTGAATCTTCGAGGCGTTCTTCTCCAGGTATTTATTTTATGTTCTATAAGCAATTCACTCTTCAGTACATATTTCTTGTCATATTTTTCTATATTTATTGTTCAAAATACATTGTTATTTGTATTGCATAACTCATATTCGCTTCACCAATACTTAAACTCATAATTCCTTATATTCCATCAATACCATATTTTCCACTAATACTGACTCAAAATTGTTCTTCTCCTTGACTTTTTGGATCTACATTTTACAATCATAAATTACGTCTCTCTAACTGAGAAGCACTGTTACCAAAGTGATTAAATCTGACCGTACTTCTTGGATTCAATAACGGACTATTTTAGCATTCTAAATTAACAATATAGGCGGAATTGAAATATTTTAAAGCTACTTGTTCATTAATAACATTTCCACAAGTTCCGTCTATTTAATAAAGCTAGTAGAACATGGAAGTATTCTTCCATGATTAGGAAACCTCTTTTTTTTTTTTTGTAAATTGTACTATGGTGTGAGCTCCAACGCTACGACGTTACAACCGCAAGAGATCCCAAAATTCATTTAAATTTACTGTGGCAATGAAGTGTTCTGTCATCTGTTCAATCCCACCAATCTTCTCCTTCACCTCCCATCCTCTTCTTCACACCGTTAGTTCACTCACAGATCGAAACTGTCACACAATTAAAATAATTATGTTTTGAGGGACTTGCAATTGGACATCGAATTGTCTAAATGTAATGTGTAACCGGAAATCAAATATATTTGGTCAAATTACTTGAAATACGAATTTTAGGTGGAGGAAACGTCTTTATTGAATATTCCTACTATTTGTTATTCACAGTCACAATAACTGGAAAAACATAATTTATGAATTGCTACTCAAGGTTTTTTCAGTGAAAGAATATTATTGTTGGGTATCCAAGTGAAATCATTAGGTTCATTTTTGATATTTTTAAGTTATTACAAAACACTATTTTTACCACATTTTCTCGTCTTTAAATAGAAAATCGTTAGGGCAATCATGCTCATTTTTAACTATTAACAAAAACATGTAAATGAAAAGGAAAAATCCAATCCTTCCAGAGCTGAGATTTTTGTTTATAAACAAACACAACATTACCACATGAAATGTAGCAAGAACTAGCGACGTAGACGACTGAATGGCAATGCGTTTGCGTGCTGGCGGCGCAGACAAGCTTGCTGCGGTCGGACGCGGGGCCTCGCAGCGCTGGTGGCTGCAGCGCAACGGGGTCCGCGCTTCGGTCGAGGGCGACGGCCACGGCCCGCGCCCTTCGCCGCGGCACCACTTCTGCCTGGCGGAGGTGGCGCAGGGCGGCGGCCGCCCGCCCAGGCGCGACCTCTTCTTCTGCCAGGCGGCGCAGGGGCGTTCGCGAATCGAGTGCTTTCTTTGCGCTGGCCACTGGCAGGCGCTCATCTCCAGTGCCCTTGCCTTACACATGTCGGGGAGGAGGGTAGACCTTGTTCCGTGCAATGGGAGGCGATACATGGAGCATGTGCACGCTTGTTTTAACGGCGAATACACCTACCACACTCCAGTGCATGGTCTGTTGGAAATGCGAACCTGCCTTTTCTTCCTGTTATAAATTAATACGTTGAAAGTATCTGATGGAAAATACAAAGAACCGTGGACACGTTGATACGAATGGTCCTCACGCGTGAAATTTTGGTTGGCGCGGCAGGCTGGCGGGGAGCCCAGCCAGGAGGAACGTGTACTACAGCGCGCTGTCGCGAGCGCGCGCTCTTCCTGGTGGCGACCGCTGCTGGTGCACGCGCTGCTGGCCCGAGCTGCTCCGCTCGCCGCACGCCAAGGCGCTCATTGTGCCACTGCGCCGCGCCGCGCCGTCGCCCTTCGCCGCCCTCGCCGCGGCCACGTTCTGCGCGTCGCCGCCGAGCCCTTCTGCAGCGCCTCGGTCAGCCGCCCTCGCTATGATGGAGGACAGTACAAATAACTGTGGCCTTCTATCCACATAAACGTAGTGTACACTTGTACATCCTTTCTCCCACCTTTCGGAGTAATGTTTTCCCCATCATCAATTCTTGTCTAATTGATTGTTTAGGTATTGTTTAATTAGTAATCTTTTGGAGTGTTAACTCTTTTCTAATGGAGGAAATCAATGGCATGCAAGAGAGGTCAGTGCGTTCAAAACGTCAAATAAGAAATGTTACATCTACACAATAAAAATTGATGTGATGCAAATTAATGTTAATTAATTATCGTTGTATTCAAAAAATACCACTATTATTTGTAAAAGTAAATTTAAAAAAAAACGACCCAATCACAACTCAAGTCTAATATGATATTAATACAGAAAGTGTTTTTATTAAATGTCGATTGTCATATAATTTAATACTTATGACAGGAATATCGGCCGTTTTTTAATACGTACCCTTTCAATACATAATTTTAATATCCTAACATTGTACTGAAGTCGTTAAAAATGTTTATTTTTTAATCCAAATTTTAATTCAAGTGAGCAAGCTCTTTCATTGGCCTTCAATAGACTCCGACAGGTTAAACTGCATATGCCTCTGGAATTTCAGAAATCCTAATTTGTAAGCAAGAGTTTAATAGATTCTTTAGTTATAGATTACATTTTTTTTTTTTTTTTTTTTTGTAAATTTCAGCTTTCATGGTCCAGTACTTTCTTCCTGGCCCACCTTCTTCTGGTTGAACGTATGTGCTTTGACCTCGCGTGGACTTTCGGGTGAGTCCATTCAAAACGTTTCTGCTGAAATCGCGAGGAATATAAAAAAAAAAATTTTTTTAAAAATATCCTCAAAATAAAAAAATATTAATAACAATAACAAGCAAATTTTAAACTATTTTTCTTGAAAGTTTATGTTTTGTCAGAAAAATGTTGTAAATATTATTAAAATAAGAATAGCATACAAATTTGTACTAAATAAAATCAAAAAATTCCTTCATTTTTTTACGAATATTTCTGTCTAATTTAATGTCTGTTTATTTGATTTCTCAATATATTAGTAATTAATCAAACATTTAGTACCGCATACGTCCAGAAAGAGATCGTCTACCCAGACTCCACAAGGCAAAGCGCGAGTTGCGTTGGACAGTGCCCCTGTCTCTCATTAAAAAGCAGGAAGGCACACGTTTTGCGTGTTGTGTTCCTTTTGAAGAAGAAACGTTTACATGCCCGCTAGGAAAATCTCTAAAGGAAACCGTTTTAACTGTGTAAACCCCTTCTAATAACCCAATCCTAGCCCACCACGAAAAAGATTTTATTTAGTAAGAAACACCCGGTGAACCGGCGGCCAATGACATTTACTGTCTTCTGATAATTTCTTTTTAAAAAAAGATAATACGGCGGTCCAGTCTCTAAAAATTGTACCTACATGCTGCTATTTTTGGTAACCGTCTTTTCCCAACTCCCAAAGTGCAGAATCAAGTTCTTTTGATTCAACGTTTCATAACATAAATGATGTTTCAATTTTACCTATTGGTGTTTCTTGATTAATAATTCATCGAAATAATAATTCAAGTTGCCAAAGTAAATGTTGGACGTCCGTCTTTAAGGCGAAAAACCTGATAAGTCGGGAAAGTTAAAATGCCAGGGTGTTCCGACTTAGTTTAGATTCATTATTACCAATAAGTAAATGTAAACTATACTTCCCCGTCCGACATGTCCTCCCATCACTTCCCGGCCCCTTTATCTCGCTCAGACAGCTCTTCCACATTGCATATTGAACGCGAATACAAATAAGATTCTTGTGTGTTTTGCTCTAACCGGGGGCGGAAGTAGAGAAGAAAGAAGAAAAATCTCCTCCGGGCTCCGCTGCGCGGGCGACGGACGGCCGACCGTTCGAGCGCTTCTGCGCTTGCGCTCCGATTTGAACAATCATGAGCTGCACGGGATCCATGGAACCTTCGAAACCAAAAAAATTTAGTCGTATCGACAGCTCGCGATCTGCCAGAAGTCCTCCAATTCCAGGGCTTCCCAACGTTTCCAACGAGAAATTTTGAATGTACTCAACTCTGCATCAACGAGTCAATGCCGAATATAAATATGCGCCTACTCAATAAATAAAAGTCTCACTGAACAACAAAAAAAATTAACTTAATATTATTTTTTGACAAAGCCACAAAAACCCTATAATAATAATTAAACATTAGCTCCTCTTTAAGAATCCGTTATCATCGTAAGCACATAGGATTGTGCAGAAAACCTCAAAAAAATTAATGCATAAGCAATCACAGCGATTTCCTGCCGCACAAGAAAGTATCACCCACATTACGCACTGGGAGAAATGTATTTATTGGCCAGTTTTTAAAAAGCACTCAATATTTTTCCAATAAAATTAAGGACACTGAGCTACTCACAGCGAAAGCCACTTCTATTACTAAAGAATTGAGATGTGTACACGACATTATGTGCCACAGAATTGCTGAATGTGCGATTTGTAGTGGCCGCAAGCGAAAGGCGTGTGGGTGTGTTGTGTGCGCAGGCGCGTTGAGCGCGCAGCCGCCCAGCCGCGGAGGGCCAGCGCCGCCGCTTTCTGGCTACTCGCTGTACGCGTGGCGCAGCCCCGCGCTCCTCACGGCCGCACGCTCGTCTTGCAGTACGCGGCGCCGCAGCACCTGCCGCTGCTGCCGGCACGTGGGCGCCACGCCGCTGCTGGATCGACCAGTGAGTCGCCCGTTGCGCTCGCAGCCCCACACTGACGCCCTCCTCGGATTCCAGGCAGTTAGAGCTTTGTCGACTGGGGCGGGCCTGCTTGCCGCCGGCGTTCCCAAAGAATTCTCAATGCTTCACCATAATGACATTATTTAGTATTTAAATTCTCTTTATGAACATCCCTTGGAGGTTTGACTAATTTGGAGGAGAACTAGAATTTGGTTACCTGGACATCATCAGCTAATTGCATATTCTTCATTTTCAATGGGGCATGCAAGTGCTGACTTGAAATTGCAAAAAATTCATTGAAATTGTTTTTCCTTCGTTACTATTAACCTATTAGACGAAACCCAATTATTGAAACTTCTAAAATCGTATATTTAGTTCTTACAAAGAATAGTTCGTGTCATCCGCAAACAGAACTTTCTTCCGTTTTTAATAATAGCGAGGATATTCGTTCCGTATTAATAGAAGGAGGAGAGGACCTAAGATCGAGCCTTGCGGCACCCCATATTCAATTGCGTAAAGAATTGGAAAGATAAGTAAAGAATGTTCTTTCGTTGCCAGTTATGGTATTTTACTCCTTTGAGATCGTGTTTTAGATACAAGGATATGCAATCTAGGGCTATACAACGAATTCCATAAGAAGGTAATTTGATAGCCAATGTGTATGAGCAATACGTTTCAAAGCTTTCGGCAAAGATCCAAAAATATTCCAATGGGTACTTCATTTTGGTCCATTGATGAAGCAACAACTTGAAGAAAAGATAAACATGTCAGTTTTCGTAGAATTTTGATTTTCTAATACATTTTGTGAAGTCTGTACACGCGTCATTTTTCTCAGAAAAAGTTTCCAGTCACATAATTGAAGGCCTTCAATATTTTTGAGACAACTGACAAAAGAGAAATTGGTTTGGTAATTTGAATTTCATATTTGTTCCCCTTTTGTTAAAAAGTGGCTTAATTTTTACCCTTTTTGGTTTTAGTCCCCTTTGTGAGCCGCAGATCTAGAAAGTGTTTGGTTGAAGGAGTTTAGCCACTTTTTCTGGTTACTTTCTTCTCTTTCATTATCCTTTAAACAACTTTCACTACTGAAGTGTCGTAATGAATGTGTCATATTTATTTACGATTATTCCCACATTGCTTTAATTTTGTTACTAGCGTTCAAAATATCCTCATTATTTATGCGTGAACTTTACTTCCTTTAATGTTATATTCTTCGGAAGTAGACATGAACCCGGAGATTACATTATGATGTTTGGAAATTAAAGTAAAGCGTACATTTGTTTTTACACAATGTTTCTTAATTACTTGTGTGATCTAAGTTTTATTTTTCGTTGAAATGTTTAATTTTCTCGTTTGAGAAGAAAGCACGCGTTAAGTGAAATGAAAGCTTGAGGAAAATAGTTATATTTTTCATTGTGTCAATAGGTTGAAAATTGTTGCCCATGATCCGTCAGCAAGTAGTTTTGCTTTTAAACTGTAATTCGTGTAGGTACATTCCCTTGTAATATCTAAATTAAAAGAATGCAGTAAATTAAGAAAACTTACTCTTTTTCGTAAGATTCCTTCAGAAACTCAATATTTGTAATCTCCACAATAACAAGGATTTAAAAGATAGATTTACTATTTTGTTCCAGAGGTATTCTCTAGTTTTTCTAAGAAAATGAAATTATCTAAAGCTCGCTAGTTGGAGTCGTAGATGCAAAGTATGATAGTTTTGGGTAATAAAATGTACGACAATTAGTTCAAAAACTGTTTTCAGCTGCAATAAAATTGAATTTAATTTCAATATCATTCTTACATAAATACATGAACCCCGTAAGCCAAAGGCTTTTATTTGATGTCCTTCAACTCTACAAAGCGATCCTGGCACAGTAAAAACTAGAATTTTAGTGTGTTTAGATCATTAAGAGGCAAGAAGGTCTGTAAAGTAAAAATTTATATATTTGACCTAGATCAGCAGCTGTAATTGCTTCCTCATAAACTAAATTTTTATTTGAAAGATGATTTCTCATAATGATGCATTAATAATGGTGCTTGCATTACCTACACGGATGGTTCTCTGCTGCCATTTAACTGTAGTTGCTATTTATGTATCTCATTTTTACCACGAGTGCTGGTCGAAGGAAGTACTGTGCCCCCCGCAGTGCAGGTGGTAGAAGGGGGTGACATATGTAGATAAATGAATAATGCGGAGAGGTTAGTACAAGGTACTTCAGAGGATACGGTAATTGTGTCAAAAGAGGTTCCCGGAGGATGGAAGAGAAACTTGGAGACGTGGGTGGTGGAAGTGGTTCTTTGACAGACACTGCCAGTTGTGAAAGGAAGTGTGTTTGCAAGCTCGCTTCGAGTGCAGTTTTTCCGACAGGGTTAAGGGTGAAGACCAAACTTGAAGTGTTTTTCTTGAGAGAGAGTTTACCTGCAAAATAATTTAACTCGGTGTTTCTCCGAATTGCAGTTTCAGTTGGTGTTTGCGTGTTCCTTGCTTTGCACAGTGTTGTGTTTGTTGAACCAGAAGGCGGATCGAGACTGTAATGTTTGTCTGTTTGGGCGGCACGTTGTTGTTTGTTTACATGTGGTCAGGACTAAAGTAACCAACCAAATTGTTTGGTCGTTCTGGTCCTCCTATGAAGACTGGTATCCCGTTTGGTGAAGTTTTGGTGGGTATCCATCATCATTGGTTATCTCGGCAACCTCACGTTGCTTTCAAACACTCCCGTGACAGAGAAAATGGATGGGAGTTTCCCACCGAGCAGGGAGTTGCCCATAGCGGATGGTCAATGGTGTGACCTTGGCTTACTTTGGGTCAGGTGGCGCCACTCTACGTGTTTCGCGCTTGCTAGCCTGTTTGCGCTCGTTTGTGAGCTGTGGGCATGAGATAGCGGTGTCGATCATGGGAAGGAGTGAGGATTGGAAGGCAAGGAAACTCATTGTCATTATCTAAAACAGAAAATCTTGTTTTTCAGTCGTATTGGTAGTGAGTTAAGTTTGTTTATATCCATTTGTGTAACATGAGTTTTGAAGTATCCATTTTTAAAAGTTCTCCCTCCAAGTTTGTGTATGCATCGCTACATTATCATGTGTCTTCAAGAAATTTGATTGACTCTGGGCACCAGAATTCAACGTTGAAGGCGTTAAAAAGAGATTTATGACCGTCAATATTGTTTCGCCCACTCGTGCCAGGGGGCCGGGAGATATCCCTGAGCAGACGTAAAAAACCCACCTTGAATACTTGAGGGCCTGCGGTGGCGAGCTTCTGTTTTCACGAGCGCGTCGAGTTCAGGCATAACCGGCTTCAGACGTCCAAATCAGAAATGCTCTGTCTATTTGCGAGCAGACCATGCACACGTCACTCTCCATTGTACTATGCCTATCTTTCTTCGCACAACGTGCAAGGCAAGTTCGTTCTGACTAAAGGTTTATCCGTACTCGAAATTGAATGGTATGCGTTGAGCGCATAAATACGAACAAAACAAACCACTGATTTTGTCATATACCTGAGTATATTAAAAAATTGATTCAAACCTCATATTTGGTGGCGATGGCCGTCACATATTTCACATAGCCTCGTTTGGCGCCTATAATTCATCAGGTGAGACGTGTACCACTGTTCATTATCGATAAGTCTGGATGGCGGTAGTGTATTAAGCGATAAACATGAAATTAAAGTTAAGTGATGACAAAAAGTTCCTACCACAATTTACTATTTTACCGTCATATCTGCGTCGAATGAATGAGAGAGTGGCCTCAAAAGGAAGGGTTGCTCAGAAGTATCAATTGCCATATCCAGAATGCTGTAGATTGTGTGTTGATAAATTGTTATTCGCTAGACATAATTTTACATAATTGTACTGAAAATGATATCAGAATGAAAGTCTGAGATTGACATCAATTACTCACTATTACGAGGACTTGCGTATTTTATATTTAGATATTTTTCTCCCATGTTCTCTTTCTTCACGGAGAAAAGATGAATGCTTACTTTTCAGATTTTATTCATAATTCTCAAGACATAAAATGATATACACTATAAATAGCGATATCCGGTTGAGGTGCACTTTGGGATCAGACATATCTTCCAAATACTTTTTTCTATTTCTGTCCAACACATTTACCTCGATTAGCTTGGATAATCGTATATGGTATGAACCCAATCTAGAGCATCCTGATACCCAGTATCATCTGCGGAGGCCTTGTAGGTCCTTGTCAATGGATTAAAGGCCAAGGGACTGAATCGGCGTGGAACCGATCATACTATTACACTCGCCTCCGGTAGATTGCTGCGTGTGTGCTTTAGGCAGTGGCAAACGTGGCTCTGTCATTGTAGTGGCGCTAGTTTGATCTCGCCTTAAGCTCAACCGTGGTAGCATCTCACGCATCATGTACGCGGAGCTCTTCTGGCCGAGTGTAGCGAGACCAGATACACTATGCACCGGTACGACGTGGTTCCCTCCCCGCCGCTCCGCTGCGCTGCCCAGGCCAGCTTTCCAGACCCCAACAGCCCGCAATACGCTGCTGCGCGGGAAAGTGGCGTTCTCCGCACAAGGCCAGGGGTGGGCCATTGCAGAGGACCGATCGCCTATGTGGTAGAGGACCACATATCTAGCTCACGCGCACACATCCCGCCCGAGAGCCCCTTTCAACGAACGCTTTTAGGCTGAAAAGTTGAGCCTCGACTTCCACACACACACGCGATCTTCGGATCCGTATCCACTAAGCAGGGATGAACCTGACGCAGACAATTCTACTGTCTTCGTGCTAAATCTATGACTTTATATTCACCATAACTATAATCCGCGTTTTCAATCCATTTCCATTAAAAAAGGTGTCTATTATGATTTCTTTAGAGAGAGAGGATGTCTATAAATAATTCTATCCTGCTCTACATAATTCGAATCATCTTATAACAATACTAATCTATAACCACTGTACAGCGCGATACCATACCTTTGTCGAGAGGGAAGTACAATTCGAGAGAGCAAGAGAAATTATTAATCTAATGAAACAAAAGCATCCAGTTGTCGAAAGAGAATATCTGGACTCAGAGTTACAGAATGTGACGATAAAGTATAATCCTCTTCTGTGTCCTTACGACGAGGTTAGAACGTTTACAAATATATGCACGAGAATGGCCGACTAGCAAAGGCATCACCGGTTTTGAAATGTAGGTTGGCGTTGTAATATCGGATAAGTGCAGAATAAGGTAAGAGCGTTTATATAGAGAAATATTGACTATAAAAATACTGGCGTCATACACTTCTCATACTTGCACAACGCCTTGGCTGTTCGTGGAGATTCTCTTCTCGTGCAATTGTGGATACTTATTTAGCACCTCCAAAAGTTTAGCTCTTCATCTATAATTGCGCCCTTGTTAACTCGGGCATCACTCTCAGCAGCGGTTTTGATTACAACCGACTGCTCCAGTTTATCGTATTACTGTCTTGATTAGCCAACTGAAGCTTATTAATTTTGATGTCTGGCGGGGTTGTGTTGTTTTGCCCATTTCGCATTATGACTTATTGAGCGGGTTATGTCGCTCTTATCTTCACAACACATGAGAATTCAAGCGCTCTCGATGTGCGTTATCTGGTATATAAGTGGATTGTTCAATTGCTTGCTCTTACCTGTACTTCGCATACAGTATCCTCTTTTCTTTCTTTAGACGACTCGCCTACTCAGTGTGTATAAATATATGCGCCATTTGTGCTTTCGCTGACGCAAAAGCCCGCACATTAGGTTGCCACCAAACGTTTGATATCACATTATAGTGAGAGGTGTGTGCGCGGACGGCGCATTAGAAAAACAGTGTTCTATTAATTTTGGCCTCTATTAACTACTATCGGCATTAGTCTGTACTTTTGATGGATGGAGCGAAGTCAAACGACTTTGGCGTACGGGACACTGCAAACCCCCATGCTATAGTTCATTGGAGACTTCTTCGAAACTGCGGGATTAGCCTCTCTATACGAAAGCTAAGATATGCCTCTTCTTGGCGAGCGGATTGATCCCGTATGTAGCAAGTTTCTGCTTCGTTAGCATGTGCTACTCATTGTGCTACTACTGGGTCCTATACTCCCGACGGGATCTCTCTCTTCTCTTTTTTTTTTTATTTGTTTCTCGCGTTGTCAGAGATGTTGGTTGTTTCTCCGATATCACACCAGAACATCTTTCTGTTAGACATTCGTAAATAGTATTGAGTTTTTGTGTTAGCAAAGTATAATCCCCCATATTCCCTTATTTGCAGTACCAATCTGAATATCACGCTCAACAACAATTAATACTTCAATCACATTTATAGTGCCTTCAGTATAGTTCGTGTGTGATGTCATTTTTATATCGCTCTTCCTTCCATTACCTTGCTACTGCCTTTAGTTTGCGCATGGACAGATTTAGATTCCATATAGTAGATTCTTGAATGTATTGTATTCCCGACAGAAAAGACATTATCTGCCGCCGGACGGCGCATCTCCACTGGCCTGGTGGCCCATTGTATCTGGATGGGGCCAACTACTGACGAGGCTTTTTACGGGGAGCAACGAACTCTCTTGCTCAGTGCTGTTTGACTCTCCTCCGGAGCTCAGAACCATTGCGTCTTAGGGCGAATTTCCGGTCTGTTACCTTCCACTCTAGATGGTGACTTATGGCTCTGAGCGCTTTCTGATCTGCTCTCAAGTTCTTCGTTGCAATCTGGTCATCGGTGAGTAATTGGTACAGAACGGAGAACGTCTGCGACTGCTTGCTTCATGTAATATTATTTCCCAGTAGTATTTCACAACCTCGTCCTTTTCATACCAATTGATTGTAATAAATCTCGAGGAACCGAGACATAATTGCCCAGATTACCATTCTACCTACTCTTATTGGTTCAAACATCAATCTCTGAAGTCATTCATGCTACGGATTCAGAGTGACGTCTGGTTGATACGATCATCATATTCAACTTTTGCCCAATAGATGTTGAATTACGGCTTTATCCACTTACCTCTATTACGCTTAAGCTTGTAGGTTGCGCTTGTCGGCCCCGCGGATCTTTTAGCGCCAAATTCCACACGGCCATTACGAGAAGAGTCTTATGGAAGGGTAAGCCGTGGCGGCCAGGGCAGGGCGGAGATAGGCGCACTGCGGTTCCGCCTGCCGGACGCCGAATTATCCCCTTTACCCTGCGTGCGTTTTCTCAGGTTGTGCTCGAAGCTCGTGCTAATCTTTAGAAGCTCGACCTGCGATCTCTGCTCGCCTCCGCCCACGCCCACCGCCCCGCCCCGCGGCCGGCGCGCCGCCTTCCAGGCGTCACCGGGTCGTACACCGTCGTGTTCGGTCCAATCCACCACGGGAAGCCTCCTGCAACACGCACCCTTCACCTCACATCTACTGCTCTGAGGAGTTAAATTTGCGATATTCAATGCAATTATAATGGACATAATTAAATTTTGCGCTCTGAAAAGTTAGAACAGGAATTAAACATTGATTCGATTGCCTGCTACTCTCATGTGAGCCTCGAGAACTCCAGTTCGAAAATTCTGCTTATGAAATTCTATATTAAAGTGCCAATAAAATTAATTGATAATGGCAAATTATTGCTTACTCGTTATAACAAAAATACACAATGGCTCAATATCTTATATATTTTGCCTGTTTTTGTAAATAAGCATAATTAATCTTTTTATACAAACTTGATTAATTATTTATCTATGCTTAATTCGCATGTGTTTGTCAAAATCGCTTCATTCTAATTTTTCGTTTCTTTGCTCATAACAATTATTTAACCTAACTCAATTGATACATAAATACAAGGAACATAATATTATATTTTGTTATATGTAATTTTTAATTTTGCTAGGTGGGCGGCTCAGTTTCTATGAAACGTTTAATCTTAATGAGCTCTAAATCTAGAATTTCCTCTATTCCCTCTAGAATTTGGGTATTCGGACATTTGACAGCGTGACCTCCTACACGGAATTGCTCAAGTAGTATATCACTGTGTTCCGTCTTCTAAGATTTAAATCTCGTGTGTCAAGAAAGTAGCGCTAAGGGACCCAATTAGGACACACCTGGTGTTCCAGACAAGCGCTGACCTTTGAAGCTGGACACTCTACGAACCAATAAAGTATAGAGAGAGAAGGGCTACTATCTCACCCTTTCTGCGAAGTAAACCCTATCTACTGATGTCTCGTGCAACAGGGCGATCCGCTAGACATGAAGGGAACCGCGGTTCCCTCCGATTTTATTTCACGGAGAGATTGATCTTACGTGGCTTTATCCTAAATAGAGGATCTCGAAGGAATAACAACGCTTGTCTTCCAAGATTATTATTATGCTCATGGCAGATTGTACTAAAAGATAATAATAATACTCTCGCTTTCGTAGAACTTAACTTTCGTAGTATAACTACAGCTAATATTATCTATCTTCTTGAAATAGTACTTATACAGCAGGTGATGATCCGGAGTTAAAGTGTGAATGCGCGCTTTGTTGGTGCCGGCTGGATTTGTGGTGTGTATAGTGTGTGAAATAACAATGTATGATGAGTTAATATTCATACAATGAATACTTGTACAATTTTAGTACAACATTTAGTATATTAATAGTTGTTAAATTCCTATCGTGCTTGTCTCTAGTTGGCGTAGGAGTGATTGATCAATACATAAATAATGATGTGCCTAATGATCAATAAAGACATCAGACACAAAGCAAAAGACAGGGATACTTTCTTGCTCATATATAATATATATATATTATATATATAATATATATATATATATATATTTGGTGACCAAATATATTATAATAATTCATATCGAAATAGGCTCCCATCACAGTTAAGGAGTCGCGGGACGCGGGCTTCTTGCGAAGAACCCTAAACGACCGCCAGCCCGCGGTATGCGCATTACAGAAACTGCCCGACCGGACCGCTGAGGAGGGTGTCACTGCGGAAACATTTATGACCCGTCATATACGCTCGCGCTGCCACCCCTTCAGCGGAGGCCACTTAGCACTCAAGACAAACAAAATACGCGCCCGCGCGCCCTTTTGCCACGCGCCCGTCGTTAAGGAATCCAAATTCCCAAAGGGTGTTATTTTACAACTCAACCAGTCGCCCGGCGGACCTCAGCCTCCGGCTGACAAATTACGGCCCAGAAAAAAAACGCAACCGCGTCCAACAAGTGTTCGGACAGCTGCGAGAGAAGCATCTGGGACTCGCACAGAGAGAGAAGAGAGAGGAGAGAGGGTGAGAGAGGGAGAGAGGGAGAGAGAGAGGGAGAGAGAGAGGGAAGAGAGAGAGAGAGAGAGGAGAGAGGGAGACGGGAGAGGGCAGAAGGCGGAGAGGGAGGGAGGGGAGAGGGAGAGAGAGAGGGAGAGGGAGAGAGAGGAGAAGAGGGAGAGAGAGAGGGAGAGAGAGAGGGAGAGAGAGAGGGAGAGAGAGGTGGAGAGAGAGGGAGAGAGAGAGGGAGAGAAGAGAGGAGAGAGAAGGAGAGAGAGAGGGAAGAGAGGGAGAGAGGCGAGGGAGAGAGAGGGAGAGAGAGAGGAGAGAGAGGGAGGAGAGAGGAGGAGGAGATGAGAGGGA